TAATAATATGTAGATTGCAGGTACGTGTGTATAATATAGAATAAAGATAAACAAATTTACCTGATTTAAGAGACAAAAATAAATAATTGTACATAGTACTCGTACATATGAACATAATTTGTTTAGAATGATTAATTAAGCACAATCAAGACGTTTTAAAATAATCAAACAAATATAATTTTTGATTAATTTTTATATTTCACCATCGTCTGAGTAATCTGTAAGGTCCTTCCATCTACGTGGATATTCTTGATCAGAATCTGAATCTGAACACGCCATATCAGTTGTTGGAAATTTGAAATATTTTAAACGTTTTAATGGGGGTTATTAAATCTCAATTAGACGGCGATATTCGATGAAATGTTTGATGAAAATAGTGATTCGATTATACTTGATGTAGCGGCCTGGGCCGTATTGTTATCAATACTCATTAAGAAAAAACTTTATTTTTATAAAAAATACAAAAAAGTATTTTATAAATAAGTAAATTGATTTTTTATGATAAATATTTATAAAAATTACACGATAAATATGCTTAAAAGTCAAAAAGCGTGATTACGTAGCACTAATATTACAAATACGAACATCACAAACGAGAACAGACTATACAGTAATTGTTATTTATTCATGTCACCGACCACCATTTTAATAGTTGGCAAAAAAACAATATTTTGTCATGATTTTTAAAAATAGAATTACCAAAGGCTCATCGTAGTATTTTTTCGTAACCTACCCACTACCATTACACAGAAGACATTTCTGTTGAGTATATCTACACTATAATGTAAATTTATTACTTTTGGTACCTACGTGGGTGCATGTCCAACTATATAAGTTGACACGGTATTTTAATAATTAAAATTGTGATTAATCGTAACACTATATTATATAATATCTAATAAAAAATAATATAATATTAACCATACAATTTTTTTTTTTTTAATTGAGTGAAATTAAATAAGATTAATTCTTTGTGTATTAAAAATAATTTATTCCTACCTGCAGATTTAGCAGTAGTCACAGACATTGGAGGAGGACTACCAGTAGGTGTAGGTCTTGTAGTTAATTCATCGTCTTCTTCGTCGTAATCAGAATCTGTTCTTAATTGATTTAACATGCTGTTGGTAGTTACTGTAGATAGAAGTGCAGAATCATCTTCTATATTCGTCTTCTTAGTCACAGTTAACATGGACATTTTAATTAAAACGGCGCACGACCACAACTAAAGTGATTTCTAAACAATATCGAATTGAAAATAAATAATTTAAAAAGGAAAAAACAAAATTGAAAATTTCATAGTAATACAATTAAAAATAATACCGTAATTTATTTATCGTATCACTTCTACTGCAACGCAATATTATAAAATTTTAAAGACGCATACAGTTTAAATATTCAAGTGTATGTAATGTACACCCATACAACTTGAACTAATCTATACTTTATACTGAACAGTTAACAATATGCAACACATATTATTTTCTTTTATCAATTAAGATATTAATAATTGTTCTTAAGATAACGATAATAATTATAAATTATGCTTGGAGATTACAACATTAGGCCATAGAAAAAATGTTTGACACAAATGACACGCATTTTAATTGCAAATTAATATATTATACATTATTTAAATAATAAGAAATAACTCAAAATATATTAGTATATAAAATATATTACTAAAAGTGTATGCTATCAAGTTAATAAATAATCATAATTAATATTCAAGAGGTTTTTTTCTTTTTTTTTTAACACGAATTTACATTATTTTATTTTATTTTACTTATAAGGTAAATATATTTAAATTTTCAAAATATGTGGAATATAGTGTCTTTAAAAGTTAAAAATTATATAGTATTTAATTTGATCAGTGATAAAAAATAAAATAATCACTGCATTCAAGATATTATTGATTAAATAATACGTATATCAGCACTAATATTTGAAATTAAACTTAATTTATCATGAGATTATGACCAGCATACGTTACATGCGCATGTAACCCTGAACTCTAAAAACATAAGCCACAATCATTATGCAACCCTACACTAACAATAAATCGCTATTTAATACTAACACGTCATGCTACTGTCACATGAAGTTAAGAGGTGGACAATTGTGACAAATAATTGGAATAATAGTTATAACAATGTCGGTAAATAAAAAAATATGAATAAATAAAATAGAAAAAATCGTTCAATGTCTAATTAGATTTACTAGATGGAATATTTTATAATTTTTATTATATTATATTTCATTTTTGCAACTTTATAATTTAACTTCGTTTCAAATAAAACGAACGATTATAAAAATAAAAAATGTAATATTCAAATAATTTTTTATTTAGGTACATAGTCATATATTCAATTAGGTAAAAAATACAAATACTACAGCATAATAAAAATATTATCTTTGAAATCAAGGATACCTATTTTTAAGATGATTTCAGCACTCAGTAATCAATATTAGATACACATATGTATAATAATATAATATTTTAAAATTTTAAATAAATACGAAAAATAAATAGGAACAATAAACAATTATAACTTATAAGAGACAAATAAACCTGATCACTGTCTTGATCACCTTATCCTAGTCTATTTTAGGTCAAAATGTAAATTTATTTATTATTTAGTTTTCGCCTAATATGCTGAATCATTAATTTTTTTATACGATGATAGTTATTAACACACAAGTTTATCACTTCACAAATAATAATAAAAACTAAATAAATGGTTATTGAAGAATTATAAAATAGCACAGCGACATATTTATAAATAAATTTAAAAATATTATGTAAAATTAGTTATAGTACCTACTTTAAAAAATACTTATTGCTAACAAGTATAAGATATTTTATGCAATAATTAAACCAACTCTAATTAATTTCTTATTACCTATATATTTATATAACATTATTTATTTAAATGAGTTATTTGAATTTTTCAATATATTTTTATAAAAAATATGGATTATCACATTAATAGATTAAAACAATATAAAAATATTTGAGTGAATTAAAGAAAAAATATGAATCCGAAATATATTTGAATACTATGCTTTGTTACCTATACTATATTTATACGTATATGTCTTAGGATTTTGCGGAAGTTTAATAATGTATGTCACGTGGTGAAAATGCTTTCAATCATTAATAAAAAAGAAATGCGTCAATATCTGTTTTCATTAATAATGACCAAGTCAAAAATATCTAAACAGGTTTTAAATCTAATGTAACTTCTATTTTAAACAAAATTTCATTGGTTAAATGAATAATTACTAACATACAAGTATAATTATTTATCTATTCTGTAAACATACTCAATGAGTAATTTTTTATTTGTTTTAAAATATGGATCTATGTTCCTACTTAGAATTGTTATCGTTAATTATAATTTGCATGTAAGACAATAATATGTAATATTATTTTAATTTTAAGTATTTAACTTACGCAAATTAGTAGATAAAAATAAAAATAATAAAATTTATTTTAATATGAATAACGATAAAATACCTACCTACTTATTCTATAATATACCTGTGAAATTTAATGGAATATCTACCTATTTGATCTAAATTCTATAAATACTATATATTTTCTATCTTAACTATTTATGAGTATATTATGCATACCAAATATTAAACTTATTAATATGTAATTCGAAAGATAAATTCGATCATCATGATTCACGAAGTCTATTCTATAGTGCACTTGTGATTGTCATTCCAGTTTTTACTTTATATATATATTATATTCGTTATGATTATTTTATGATGACAATTTTGATATATTAAATGATTGTTATTAATTAATTTTAATTAAACCTATCAATTTCGAATGATTTTGTACTTTTTAGTCAGTTACAATATCATTATAAATAAAATATAGAGTAGGATGTGGTGCTATCCGCTTAATTAGTTTGTTATTCATAGAAGTGAATCGAAAATATAAAAATAAAATAAAAGATTTTTACTAATAATTTAAAAAAAAGAAATACGAAGATAAAAATACATATCAAGTACCTAATTTACAATCGTTTTGTTAACTATTTGATGCTCTAACGACGGTATTATTTGTATTAAGATAAAACTTGGAAAGTCTTTATGGCTTGTACAAAAATCAAACGTGACTGAATCTTAATTACTTTCATAATTCCATAGGTAATACTGTAGTAGGTAGTAAGTACCCACATTTCGATTAATTTAAATAAGTTTACGTAACACAACTCGCCTTCCTCTAATCGATTTAACTTATTTCAGTTAATCAAATAATTTATAAATAAATATAAGATACGCATTTTGTATGTGTAAATAATATATTACGTGCGTGTGTCAGTTCCACCGTTATTTTCAATGTCCACTGAAAAATTAGGATGCAACACAATTCCGAACATTTTACCTTTTATATAATACGATTGCGAACGAAAGTCGCCTATAAAAGAATTTGTTTTTATAGCCGAAAAACGAACAATATAAACGTTTTTTAGGCTACGTTGCCAAGCTTATGATTTCTGAATATGTTTTATTTTTTTGGGAATTCAATTAAAAATTTTTTTTTAATATAAACTATTTGATATTAATAATACAATGTTACATTATAACTACGTTACAAACTAAAATAAAATTATGTAAAATGATAAGTAGTGTTTAAAATGTTGATTAATTAAAACAATTTTCGAAATATAAATATTAATATTGTTATATAATGTATACGTTAGTATCTATTCTACATCGTACCTACCTATCTTATCGCCCGGCTTATTATCAGAAAACCCTTATATAATTTAATTATTTTTAAATTATCACTTAAAAATTTGTAATTGACAAACACCAAATCTGACAACGCACGATTAAAGACAGGTAAAAACGTTTGCAATCGTGTTGGAAAAAGATCCGTTCGCAATCGTATATTATCCAAAAATTGTATACAATTGAGTCTTATCAGGCATTGAGATATCTAATAAGATAGGTTAGGTAGGTAAAACAAAGAACATGTGCCTTAGTATTAAACTTAGAACTTTAATATACGGATCTGAATTAAACTAATACATACAGATTTATTTTATTGATTATCTACACGACCAGTTTTAAGTGTTCATAGTATTAAAGTGCAGCTTATATGATTTAATTTCTGTTAAGAAGTATAATAATGGCTTTTCTTCATTAATAAGTATCAAATTAATATTCAGAATGATAAAAAATAAAGGTAGGTACCTAATAAGATTAAACTATACTACTATAGTATTTTATATTACAATTAGCAAAGACGTGTTTTTGAAACTCATATTATTTACTTAATACATTTTTATTCATGACTATTTTATTTTATCTTAGACATTTTTTACTAATAAAGTATTGATACACAATTTCATGACTAAAAAATAAAATTTTTAAGTTAAGTGTTTGAGAACTAAACTGAAAACGAATATTATATTTTTATAATTTTAAATTGAACATAAAAAATATTAATTTTCTAGAATTGTTCTTTTTTAACAACAGCAAAATAAACAACATAGATTCAAGTAAATAAACTTCTGTTTGTTCTATGAATATGTCATCATTTCTTTTAAATATAGAATATTGAGTTTTTAACTTTAGACTTTTGTTAAGATTTTAAATATGTAAAAACTAAACTATTGTTTTTAATAAAGTTATATAATAAAATGTGTTAAGCCTTACCAAGTTATCCGGATTCAAACATAATATTTTTTTACCAAGCTTTTATTTACATAAAAAATTTAATACTACAGATATATATTTAACAATAATAAATGATGTAATTATGTAAATATTATTATTATGTATATTTAATTATTTAGATACCATAATTCCAGTCACTGAAGATGTTGAAAGTATTGAAAAGAAAAGCCATAATCATCATGACTTTAGAGAAATAATAGCTAATAAATTTATATCAAATGAACAAAATTATGAAAATAAAAATTCTAATAAAATGGATGAAGTGAATAAAAAAGTAAATATCTAAATTTTAATAACATATCTATTGTGCTTGTTAAGTAACCTAAGTACTTATTGAATTAAGGTAAATATGTAACTCCTAATTATTTTTTATAGTACCCGATTTTTTCTGAGATAAAATGTTAATTTTTATAAAAAATTAAAAAGGTAGAAAAATGGGTACTGCATTACTGTACATAAGGTGTTGGATAGAGTACTTATTATTGAGTAAAACACTATAATGGATTTCGTTAAATTTTAATTTAAAATAATAACCATAAAAAATGGCTCTCAACATTTTAGTAACTATAGTTATAAAACAATTTTTTCAATAATATTGGATTTACATAAAAATTTCGTTTCTTAAAATGGTTTTTCTCAGTTAAAAAAAAAAAAAATACTGAGAATATTTAATTTTGACTTATTTAAAGTACAAGCTAGATCCAATTTTCTATCCAAAACCATACCCTAGTGAAAATTGAAGCATTTTATTGACTACTTATTTTATACAAAGGTACAAAATAAACACATATCATTATAAAATCAATGCAATTATCACTCTTCTTTTAATTTTAAATGTTTGGATGTTTGTTAATTTTTTAAGTTATATATAAATTAATAATTGAGTATTAGGGATAAAATGTGCAGAATATTTTTTATATCTTTTCATTGTTTTTTTTCCAATACAATTTTATGCATAAGTAATCTTATTATATAATTTTAAAACGCAATTTATTTAGTAATATTTTCTTATTATTTAACTAAATATTAAATATCTCAATTGAAACCTTTCACATATATTAATACATATTATACACAATAATATTATTTATAGGTAACTAGTAATTATTAAGAAATAATTGAATTAATAACAAAATAATTATTAATAAATGTATAAATAGCTTTTATTTATTTTTAAATAAATAATATATTATTTTAGTATCAGAAATTATAAATATGATATTTTTCAATAATAAAATAGTACATAATAAATAAACACTAAACCTTGCCTATCAACACAAACAATAATAAAAAAATATATTTTTATATTGTCATTAAATACAAAATTAATTTACCAAAAATTTACAGAAATTACATAATTTTATTTAAGATAATAAGTAATACCCTTCTTCTCTTTTTTATAAATTGTGAATTATATTGTACAACTTGTTCATTTGTCAATTATTTAAAAACTTATTTTTATTTAGTTGTAAACATTATTTAAAAATGAATAAATTTTATTAATTGTATCTATTATTTAAATATTGTAGTTTAAAAGCTGTATAGTGTTTATATTAAATATAAATAAATAAATACATTGTCAAATTTTAAAATATTAATATATCCCTATTAATGTATGTTGGTTCATTACCAGCCTATTATTTCAAAAAAGTAGAAGACATTTTTTAAAGTGGGAAATGTATTAACATAAATACATAAATATTGTACTTCAATTTTGCTTTAGTATCTAAAAATGATTATATTAATTTTTGTACCAAAAATTTACCAGAGTAAAAATATTTTGCTAAACTATTTCGTATATAACATATTCTCTGAGGTATTCTCAATCAATTATTAGTCATTTTATGTATTTAGTATTAGTATTTTTATATACTTTTCTATTAGTGTTTAATATTTTATGAACATACTCATAGTTTTAGAAGTGTTCCAGATAAAACATATATACTATTATTAGGTGAATTATTATCAACATTAATTTGTTTTTCTTATAGATAAATAAATGGGATACACAATTACCATTACAGCAATTTCATAAAAATAACTTATCAGTTAAAGGCTATAAATATAAACACCACCCTCATGATCAATACTGTTTGAACCAAAAATATAGTCGTGATAATCATATATCATCAAAATGTGATATGCCTAAAAATGAGGACCACATAACAAATAATGTACACAATTTAAATGATACAAATGTTGATAAAAGTGAACATGAGACTAAAATAATAATTGCTCAAACACAAAAAAATAAAACCGCTATTTCTTTATTAAATGAATGGGCTATGCGTGGTGAAGAAAAAAAACCATTTGTTGTATCATATTTACTTGTAGATGTTACTGGACATGCACATAATCCAAGATTTACATTCATGTGTCAAGTATACAATATTAAAGGTAGTTCTAATATTGATTTTATCATCCAATTTAAATAAATATATATCATGATTTTATTGAATAAGCTTATGGAGATGGGAAATCTAAAAAAGAAGCAAAACAAAATGCTGCTGCCCGAATGTGTGAAAAACTTTTTGATTTTAAAATAGACTTTTTGAACAATAATGATAAAATGATAACATCTACCACCATTGATAACTTTGAAGTTAATGAAAATGATACATTTTTAAGTAGCATTGAAGGATCACAAATTATAGATGAAACTAATTCAGATATGAGCGATGAAAAATTGTAAGATAAATTAACTACTTAAAACTATTTTTTTTTTTTATATTTTATAAATACATTTTTAGGCAACAATTTAAGTATAAAGAAGTACAAACTGCACATTGCAATATGAATCCTATTGGAGCCTTGCAAGAGTTATGCATAATTTATAAATGGACACCTCCATTCTACAATTTTAAAGAAAACAAAAATCAAAAGGAACGTAAAACAATATTATACAAAGTTATTTGCAAAATTCTTCATTTACAAACAATGGGTACTAAATAATCATTAAAGTTAAATTAATTTTTTAAATATAATATTTTTAGGAACTGCTCGTACCAAGAAAGAAGCTAAACGTAAGGCCGCACATTTGATGTTTGAAAAGATTGTTGACATTGGTGCAGACAAATTAAATGAACTAAAATCTGCATACCCAATAACACTATTACCAACGGAGGTAATGTAATTTAAATACCTTGTATCCAATTTAAGTATAAAACAAATTAATTAATAATAGATGTATTTTCAAGGATTATGAACAAAATAAATGCATTGCTATATATAATGAAAAAAATGAAAAAATATCAAATAAATGGTTTTCGGCATATTGTTTTCAATCATATTTGAAAATAGCAATGGCAAATAAAATAACATTAAAAGATACAACAATATTTCCATTAGTTGAGGTACATATTATAAAATAAAACAATTATAATTAACTTTGATGTGTATAGTTTAGTAATGTATGTAATTGTTAGAATAAGGATAATCCAACACCTATAGATCAACAGCTAGAACTATATACAATGAAAATGGTACAATATATTGAAAATTCTGATCCAAATACAAGCAATGTAAATAAATTGAATATTTTATGTAAGGAACTAGGCTTCCAAGCAGTTTATGTGTGTCTGGGAGTTCAAAAAAAAGAAGGTATACATTAAACATATTTTTATTTAGAATTAAAATAAATAAAAAATCAATTTTAACAGATATTAAAAATAATATAGGCCAAGATGAAGAATATGCTATGTTGGTACAAGTGACAACTGTACCAGTCACAATTACTACTGGATATGGAACCAATAAAGATAAAGCAGCAGAAGAAGCTGCTAAATTTATACTAGAGACGTTTAAAGCAATGTTGCTCTTTACTAAACAAGACTCCATAAATTTAAACAATAATGAGGAAGAAAAAATTGTAAATGTATTGTAAATGTTTAAATTAAGTAGTTATAATTGAAAATTTATATTAGTTATATGAAATTATTTATTGTTAACAAAGTGCTATATCCTAATATTTAAAAAGGTTACATTTATCTAAAATAATTTAATAATTTTTTTTTTTTACTTGTACTTAAATCTAGAAGTTTCAGTTTTTTTTTTTTTTTTGCTTTTGTTCTGTCAATTTATAATTAAAAAAACTATAGGTAAGATCAAACTTTTTGTTGTGCCAATAATTATGCTTAACAAACTATGGGTACTTAATAATATGATGTTTAACACAAAACAATACGCTTGTTTTATGATCTCATCAATTAGTTGATCAAGCAAATAATATTGAAAAATAAATAATAACAAAAGAATAGAACAATAGATATTATAGCTGTAATAATTATTTTGTGTTATTAAAAATAAGAATTTTCTATTAAAACTTTCCGGTTTTTTTTTCCTTTTCTTTTTTTTATCATACCCAATGCAATATTGTGTACCAGAGCATATTTTAAAATATAAAATGGGAGGCATGAGTGCCACCCAGTGAAAAATTAGTGCTACCTTGTGGTTAATGAATGTGCCTCATACCCAGTCACAAGTCAAAAACTTAAAAGGTACCCGAAGTAGATATTTGGCCTAGTGTTTATATCTTATAGACTATAGTGATAGTGCCACCTAGTAAAAAAGTCTTAAAATATGCTCTGTTGTGTACACATTATATTATTTGACATTTAACTGTTAAATTTTATTTTAAAATTTACCTTCGAGACAATGGTCTTGATCTGTGGTATGGGTACCTACTAATTACTGTTCGGTAACGTGAACAAACGTAATGACCGAATCGATAATGACCATACAGATAAGACCTTTTTCCGTCGTACGCATATAATCGTTCGTTTAACGCGTCGTACGAACACGCGTAGAGGTACTTTGAATAGGATTCCGTCTCCGTACACAAAATGATGAAGTTGTCGACTCGTCTGTTCGGATGGTTTGACTACGGCTGTAATCAACGTGACATTATAATATAATTATTAATATCTCAAATCGATCAATATGGTGATATAGTAATGTGGTCGTCGTTGTCGTATCACTCGTATCGGTAGTTGGTGTCATACAGAACGTTCGCGGGATCACGACTTACTGCTAGGCAGAACTACAGACGAATCGCGGTAGTGACGTCGTGTAGCGACAAGTTGACGACGACAACAACTACTACTACTAGTTACTACTACTACTACTACTACTACTACAACAGTACAACAACCACTGCGGCGCGCCGACCGCTACAAAATATGTGTATATAATATTGTCATTCGCACACACACGGCAGTTTTACGTTCAATACGATTCACATAAATTAATAATTATTATTATCCCTGGTCCGAGCCAATTCGCCGATAATATATTATTTTTATGGTTTTCGATCTCGGTTGTGCGTTTGTGTGTTTGCGTGGAAACAGTGTCGAGTGTTTTCGTATGCTAAGGGCCGTAGACAATAAAATCGTTATTTATCAGCGGCTGCGGCTAAATATTAATGTCGTGGCGATACGGGATTTTCACCACCATTTTTTTCATCGTATTTGTCGTAAATTTTACCATTTTTTTTTTTTTTTTTGTAATTAATTATTGTACCGCGTCATGTTTCCGACCGTAAATCATTTCACGTACACCGCGCTACCTCCTCTCAAGCGCGACTCGCCGACGCCTCGCACGACGTCTTGGTCTGGCGACTAGCTCTTGAGTTTTATCGTTTTATGCGTCCGCCTCGCGACATCGACCTCCTTAACGTGCGAACGTTCGTTCGTGCACCGTTCCGACTCGACTCTCAAACTGACCTCCATACGCACGTCCGCGCCGTACATTGTTTACCCGCGTTTCTCGACCCCATGACGCTTTTAATAATATATTCTTATACTTGTTCTATGTACGAATAATTTTTATTTTTTTGCAATGATTATTACACAAGATCACGTATCATTATAAAACGCCGACTTGTTATTTATATCCGAACACGATTCGACGAGTCAGACTTGTATGTCGGGCAGATTGTCAACATACCGACATCTGTTTAACAGTGTTAACCCACAGACGTGTCTAGCGAAGTTTTTATCACGAGATGACTAAAAATATCATAAGATTATTGTTATCGTCATTATTATTATTATTACTATGTGATTATAATATTTTTCATATTTTTGTCGTAAACAGAAAACCGGTCGAATACGTGGATTGTTACGTTTTAAAAACAACAACCTACCGAGTTCTTGATAATTTATTCACGGAAAAATATAGAATTGTGATTAACTGAGACTGACTGGCTTAGTTGACGATCAAGAGTCGCTTATTTAAGTTTAATTTTTAGGCGTAATACTTTACGCATATTATCAGCGTCTTCCCAAAAAACGTACACGGAATGTTGTAAGAACGACGATTGAATATCAAACCACAGAATTTCTACTATTAGATAATAGTATAAAAAAAAAAATGTATAAATTATGATTGAGTATATCAGATAAAATGTCGATTGTTTAATGTAGTAATACATTCAAAATACATTAATTTACCAATGATCAATACACATTTTGTGAATAAAATACATATTGTTTAATTATTTATGTAACATTATAATGTACCTACCTTGTATAATGGTTGATTAGAAGAGTCGACTATTATCATTTTTCGTTTGGATACTTAAACATTTTTTTACTGATAAATGATAAATTTTTAACTTTTAAGTAAAAATAAAAAATCTATAATTGACCTTGATGAGAAACTTTTAAAGAAATATATTTTTTTTTACAAAGTTTAACAATTTAAAACCGTAACCCCTCAAAAGTACTTTTATTGTCTCATTTTTCAAATGAGTCTAATAATATATAGCTACTAGGTAGTATCTATGTATATAAATATAATACGTAATAAGAAATAGGTAACTAATAATTCACAGGACGATAGAACATCAATTTTAAATCAATATGATAAATGAGTGGAATACTAAATAAGAAAAAAAGTTAACTGATAAATTATAAAAAATTTAAGTATATTACTTTACATAATCTTAATTAATGAGACTCAGAATACAAAATTCAATATTGGGAGTACTTAGCATACCTCTAGTTGTATCACTGTTAATCATTAATTAAAGTTATCGATTTAACGTAAAATCAATTGGTTAGTTGATTAAGTTGACTTAGATCGTTGAACAATTGCATCAACCTATAGGTATATTAACCGTGGACTATAACTTTCCTAAATAGGAACTTCGTCATTTCGTTGGTTTTAAAAGTTCATTAGATAATTAGATTTAGTCGATTTTTCAGTTTTTACTAGGTGTTATGATTTTACAGTTTTCAAATTCCTTTATTTTGTCAGAAGACTATATTTGCAACTATTAGTAGTGTATAGTTGTTATACCCTACGATCATGTTATAAATAAATTTATAGTAATGATTTTTTTGTGTCATTTCATCATAAATAATATTTCGATAAAAATGTTTAAGTTTTGACAATTTGAATAAGTAATATTTTCATATAGGTTGAAAAATAATGATGATAATATAGCGGTAGGTACGCCCAATACCCATTTCAATCTAAATGATGGATAACTAAATAAAATTATAATAAAAATACTGTAAGTACACCTCTTTTATTAAATAATTAATTTTGTCTTATCGTATTAACTATTAAATAGGTCATAATTCATCAATATATATATATATATATATATATATATATATATATATAATATATATACGTTGTACATAGTACATGTTGATCGGATTTAAAATTACAGGTAGGTAGGTCACCACGTCAGAGCCTATCGCTAAATCACATAGGAACCACATCCCAGCCAAATACTTCAAAACACTTCAAAATTCAAATAAAACAAAAATGTTTCCGTTAAAAATATAGCTTAGAAAATAAACTCGTATACTTGTATAGTACCTATAAGTTTTAATATAAACTTGGAACTAAATAATTAATTTTATTATATTTCAAGTTAAATAATGAGTAACGCAGATTAATGTTCTTTGAGTAACTTATTAATTTGATGAACGATGAATTGCATTGTATAGATTTTGTACAGTAATTACTGAAATACGTTAATGAAATTCCCAGTTTTAGAAACCGAACTTATTATTATTGGTGTCTTGTGGTCTAGGTAATCATATTTAGTGCCCGTAACCTTATTATTCAACATTTCATTTGATATTATTCCTATTAGGGAATCTAAGATTATATATATATTTAAATATGTACCAAAAATCCTCACCATAATCATTAATCACTCTATATACAGGAATAACTTATTATTTGGACAATATTAAACATTGGTATTACTTATATTAAGTACCATTATTTTCATCAAAAAATATTTTTTTACTAATATTTTTAAATTTATGAGCATAATTTTTCTTGTAAGCATGTAAAATTAAAATGCTGACAAAATTGGATACCTATTTAAATGAAGAATAAGGAATGTAATGCTCTGAGATTTTCAGTAGTAATCAAGTAAAACAACAAAAATAACTCTTATTATTAAAAATATCTAATTTTTTGATTGGCAGTACACTACACCTATTGGAAAATAACGAACTATTCTTTGTTTTATATTATAAGAAGAAGAAGACTTAGTGTATATTGAGATAATTATTATTAATTTTATATATTAATTCAAAATCAAAACAGTATCATTACCAAAATATTTAATAATAATACTATACGAATCGAGCTGGTTTTCAATCAAATTAATATATATAGGTAGGTATAGTATAAAAGATAAATATGTTAATATCTATTCTAGAACGTACCTACCTACCTATCGTACCATCTTATCACCCGGCGTAATAGTAAAAACCCTTATACTATTTGATTATTTTAAAAATTAACTATTTAAAAATGTATTATTGACTAACACCAAATCTGGCGACACCGCACGATTAAAGACAGATTAAAAAGTTCGAAATCGTGTTACGGTAAAAGGTCCGTTCGCAATAATTTTATTCGCAATTAAAAGCTCTATGCCCAATTCCCGAGCGCTTAGCGACATTTTTAAAAACGTAATTCCAATATTTTAATTATCGTATAAAAACACAAAAAAAGACTATTAGTTCTTTATCATTAATTTCAATTAAAAAAGAACTTCTGAACAAAGAAAATAATAATTTAGAATTTTATGATTAAGTTAAAAATTAATTTTTTAAATAAGAAAAACAAATAGATTTTATCTATGAATAAATTTTGGACTAAAATTATTAATAATTACCAATAAAATACTTTTTTTTTTAAATTGTAAATTGAAATTTTATTTTAAAGTTTACCTAATTTAAAATATTACCGCAAACCACTACAGATGCCCCTAAAATAATTCATAATAAATATTTTTAAAATTATACCGGGATTGTCACTGCTATAAATTCTTTCAATTTTCAAAACGTATATTCAGTTGATCTAAATATTAATTTTTTTGTTCTAAACTGTCTGCAATTTAAAATAAATATTTAATTTTACTGTATTAATTAAATAGATTTTTTTTAATTAAACATGTATTTATGTATGCGCAGTTGTGTAAAAACACACTTGATATTTATTTTACAAACAACTCCAATTTAAATATTATACATCAATACAATTTATATTATTTAATTAAAAACAAATAAATATCGAAATAAGTATTATAAATATTAGTTTATTGTAAAAACCTGTTACACAGTGTACTCAAAAAAAATTTAATAACTCCGACGGTACGTGTGAATAAAGATCTACTAAATATTACACAAAACTAATAAATATGTGTTTATACTTTTACGACTCTTTACTTTTAATAAGTAGCATTCTTATATTAGCAGTATTCATACAAACTGCAAGTACAAATAATGGTGAGTTTAATAATATTGAAATTTTGTCTTAAATATTTTATTAGTATATTATAATTTGATAGAATTGTGACCAAACCATTGATTTATAAAATATATGGCAACAATTAACACATTGTTATTTTTTATATTAACAATAATACAAAAATCCGCTTTTATTTCTAATAAAGAAAGAATTGTCAGTTAATGTTACCGAAATTGAAATTAATGTCATTTACATTGATTCGGAGGTTAGCTCTCTCAATTATTTTAATTGTCTACTTAAATTTTCTAATTTTTAAAATATGATTTGCTATATTGGCTTTTGGATCCATTTTACAACGATGAAACCTTTATTGTATTATTGTTATGCTAATGTCTGATATCTGTTAGTACTCATTAATTAATTTATCCCCAAACTATTCGCTGTGTTAAAATGTATAAGGTATTGTAAAAGTTGTTCATCTACTATGTATAGGTACTGCAATTTTTATTAATTCATAAAAGTATTTATTATAATTTTAAATGTATAAAAAATAAAAATTGTACACAAGGTTTTTTATAACTTATGACAAGTAGACTTAAGACTTATAAGTTATAATTCTTAATTTTTTATTTTGCAATAATTAAGAAAAAAAAATTATTTACCTAACTAAACCTACATTAAATATTATATGACTGTTTATTAATTTTCGATATAATTAGATTTTAAAACAAAAATGGTAAGAGGATTGGATATTAAACGTTTTTAAAATATTTAGTATAGGTCATATTCTAGGTGGGGTATTCGTAATGTGTAAATGTGCTTGAAATAACTAATTATTAATGTATGACTGTGTGTAAAAGAAACAGCGGAATACTCCAGCACGTGCATGCACATGTCAATAAGTAATAATGCACTACATTAAAATAAATGATTTTGTTTTTTCTTAGTTAAAAGTATCAATATATTATCGATCGTATTTAACCTAATTATCTAATAAAATATGTAACATTTGAATTTGTCATAAAATTTACTCTAAAATGATAATTTCACATTTTTAAATAAAATTATATCAATAATATTAAAATTAAAAGATACTATTTTGAAAAGTTAGGAATATAGTTTAAACACGGGTGAGTAATTTTGTCAAAATTTGAACATAATATTAAGCACATTGTATTCTAGTATTTTTAGTATTTTTATACAGATACGACAAGAACAACTTGTGTGGACTCTTGAATTACTTTTTCAAGAACATTGTTCAGTAAATAATCTTTAATGGAGAACTTAAAAAAAAAAAATTTAGAAAAAGTGTGTTAAGTGTTATTAATGCTAAATCGGTGTACTTCGTTCAGTTACGTATTGCTAGATTGCCATAACTAATTTAATTTGACACAAAACCACATCCAAAGTCGAAATCAAAACATTTGATCTCACAAAATAAATGTAGACTGAAAATAAACATACATACATTTATCTAACATCATTTACCAGCCCTTAAATCTAAATCTAGTTCGGAATAGTTTTTCGTGTGTATCGCAATGAATTAAATACTGTTCTAAGCTATATTTACTGATTGGATGGATAATCCAACACAATCGGAGTAAGGACAGTAATGTATTAGTAATATATTGTGTTATACACTATCAAAATATGTATCATTCGAACCTAAATCTGTTTATCTCGCTAGTCAGTTCACTAAGAAAAATTGTTTAATCCTCTTATATCCGCATATCTATTAACATTAGTTGCCTATTATAACTATAAATAAGAACCGGTAACATTAAGTCATCATGTCTGCTGATTTGCAAATATTATTTTTATATTAGTATTGCATATTTTGGTTAAGAGCTGTCATCACAATATTCAAAATCCAAAACAATAAAACGAATTTTCACATTTTTGATATATGATGATTGAGTTATAGCGGTAACAAAGTAAACTCACCATACTCATTATTATAGTAACAATAATTTATAGCAAATCTATAAGTACATTAATCTCATTAATAGACTGTGACTGATAACATAAAGGAGCACAACTAGTGCTTTCAACGGTAAAAACTTGTCCATGGAAAATAAACAAACGCATCAAAAGGATTTTAGTAGTAAAATACTTCAATATACTATCAAGCGAAGATAAACACATACCCCGAAATATACATTGTGGCGTTAATAATTGACATGATGCAGATTGAGAATATATGGTTGAGTGTCATACTCATATATATATATTTGGAATACTATATTTTCAAAATTGTATTTAATAAAGTTATTGATAAAGGTCATTAAATAGCGTATACTGAGTTAATAAGAATAAATAATTACGTAAACTAGTTCTATTTTATGTGTAATACGACACACAATAATGTGCACTACGGATATAAAGTGTACTTTCGATTTAACGATGTATCATTTCATGGTTTATAAACAAAATTCAAATAACATACAAGCTACTAAAAGTATAGTATTTCGAAATTTAAATTTAGATATATGAATTATAATTTCTTATTAATTTTCAAACATTGTTATCAGTCAAAAGTATGTTTAAGTTGTGTATTAAATCATTATTATACTATAAATAGTGGCAGATAAGAATAAATGTGCATCCGAAATAGAGCTTGATTGAAACATCATACTAATTTTCCATGAACTATGAAAAGTTTTATTTGTTTGAGTTATTTAGTGATTTACCATGAAATGATTTTTACGTTTGGTGTTACCATATGTTGAAAATCGAAAATCTACCATGAGGTATATGGCCTTACGGCTATAGCCAGCTATCCATATCAACACACCACTAAGGCTGGATAATGATTTCGGTATAATATCATGAGGCAAATTGATATTATTATTACGTTATTACTACTATTTGAACTGATTCAAGAGTATTAATATTTATTTATTCTGTTGAGATTCAAAAATAAACACAAAGCTGAAACATCTACCATTGAAATTGATGACGCTTTTTGAAACATAAATATCCTATCTCCATATAATAATTTATATATAACTTATAAATTACGAATTGCAATTTAAAAACAGGTTTAATTAAAAATATGTTTTATGTATCAATCATGTATTTATGATGCACAGTTGTGTAAAACATGTGATGTTATTTTAAACATTGATTCAAACATTATATATCAATACAATGATTATATTAAATTAAGTAATTAAACGTCAACATAGTATAATATAAATTTGTTTATTATAAAAAGCATCTTTATGATTTACTCTTTTCAAATATATGCTAATAACTGTTAAACAATGTGATTGATGAATTAAGATATATGATATTGTTAATCACGAAATCAATAAATAATAAATATAAACTTTACTTTATGGCACTTGTGAATTAGTTACATTCATTCTATATTAGCAATTACACACTACAAAACTAAAAATTGTATTTTTAATAAATATTAAAATACATACAAATATTAAATATCTATGCATCATGTTTGTTATTACTTGACAATATTGACCTTACTAGTTAACTGGAATTTAGTGAGATTAATAGTTTAGTAGTTTAAATTAATTCTTATACAAGTATACCTTGCGTATGAAAAGTCGTTTATTGTTTTGGATTTTGAATATTGTGATGACATAATGAAATAAAATATGCAATATAATATAACAATAATGTTTTGGCAAACGAGCGGACACTGATACTTAACGTTACCGGTTTAATTTTATAGTTATAAATTAGAACTTAGATGTTAATAGATATAATATGATATAAGGGATTAAATTAATTTTTCTAGTAATGACTAGGAGATAAACATTTTTAGGTTGAACATACATATTTTGATGGTATACCCATAAATATAACAATACATTACCTTACCCTGATTGTGTGACTATCCAATAATCAGTAAATATAGCTATAGAACTAGTATTTTAATCGTCATGATGTTACACGAAAAACTATTCTGAACCAGATTTTAGATTTTAAGGACTAAATGATGTAATAAATGTATGTATGTTTATTTTCTGTAATCTGATTATCTACATTTGGGAGATCAATGTTTGATTCTCGACTTTGTAGAATAAATTAAGTATAATCAAAGTGAAAATTACTAATTCTTTTAAAGTAACTGGGGAAAAAACATACGAACATTTATTAAATTTATTATTAAAATAAATGAGAATTTTGTTCAAAATAAGTAATTGACAAAATCGATTTATTTTTGTGTGTAATTAAAAATAAATAACATTAGATACTTTAAATGGTTAAAATTGTTATGTTTTATATATCTTGTAATACTTGTATTTTGTTGACTCTTTTGTGTACTAAATGACATTTTAAATTTTTACTATATAAATACCAATTGAAAATTTATCACTGATTTAAATGTTTGAGATTATAAGACAAGATTATTCATAAGATTTTCATTTATTGACTAAAGATTATTGAGAATTTTAAATCATAATATTCATTGAATATTTAAAGTTAGAATTTGAAAATATTTGTCAAAATATCTAAAATACAAATTATTTGTTTTAAGAAATTTATAAACATTTTCTTTTGTTTAACGATTTCTAATTTATTTTTCTTTTATAAAAAAATCTTTAACAGATCATATTCAATTTTATGATTATTTTAAACTTAAATTTTACATGATATAATATAGTGAATAACTAGTTCACCTCAATTTATATTTTTGTTAATTCAAAACGATTAGTTACTTAAAATGTTCACTAAACAATTATG